GATGAGTTATAACATGATTGTCTAAAATAGTTTACAAGTTATTATAAATAAATATATGCATTGTAAATCTATATTTTATTTATCAAAATGTGTACAATATTTAAACTCTTTTCAGAATATAATGTACACCTTTATAACTAAGTATAGAAATAATTATTTTCAGTATTTTTTTCTAAATCGAGCACTTTCCAGAAGTCTATCATTGAGTGCATGCACAAATGAGCTGACAGTACTGATGGTGCTGCCAGGACGGATCGGGCAGCCACAGGCAGTAGTGAAGGTTCAGGAAGTTCAAACAGCTACTCCCACATGTAAATGACTCTCCAGTCGCCATGGTTACTGATCATGACAGATGTTGGAAAGTGACAAACACCAGCAGGAATTACTCTGGTACTGTGGTTAAAACCAGTCAATGATCAATTTCAAATGAGAGGAAAAAAAGAAAAAAAAATCATCAACTATAAAAGAACACAAACCCATACTATTTGATGCATTAATAGATTTCAAAAGCTGATTTTTCCCCCAAGTAAATATTTTCATATTTTTCTGTCTGATTTGTTTCATTCAAAAGCACCACTTTTTAATTTATTGTTATTTATTATTTTAGTTTTACTCGCATTCACTTTTTCCTTTTACTGAACGTGTTAACTTTCAGCCACTTCTTCTTCCCAGGCGAAGACGATGACGATGAGGAGTGCGGTGAGGAGAAACTGCCCTCGTGCTTCGACTACGTCATGCATTTCCTCACGGTGTTTTGGAAGGTTCTGTTCGCCTTCGTGCCACCCACTGATTACTGGAGCGGTTGGGCCTGCTTCGTCGTCTCCATCTGTATGATCGGACTCCTCACCGCTGTCATTGGTGAGGACTTGGGTTTCAACCAAAGTGCTACTCTAAAAGATTAAAAGGAGATTTGGGTTTTGTTTGTAACACTTTAGATGCAGTGACTGAGTTATTTATGTGCGTAAACATGTTTAGCATATTTTGCAGGTTCTAATGATAAAAATCTAGTTTACAATGCTGTGATGGTAACTTTGTCTTTTAATTACAGGGGATCTGGCTTCTCATTTTGGCTGCACAGTGGGCCTGAAAGACTCTGTCACAGCTGTTGTATTTGTTGCACTGGGAACTTCTGTGCCAGGTGAGAAGTTGTAATTACATACACTGAATATGTATGTTCATGTTCCTTTGCTTTAAGAACAATTCAATGCAATCTACAGCGGGTAAAATAAGTATTGAACACGTCAACATTTTTCTCAGTAAACATATTACTAGAGGTGCTAATGACATGAAATTTTCACCAGATGTTGGTAACAACCCAAGTGATCCATACATACAAAGAAATCAAACCATAAA